GTGATGGTTTCATTAGGTTAGTTGTATAGCTGTGTGATGGTTTCATTGGGTTAGTTGTTGTATAGCTGTGTGATGGTTTCATTAGGTTAGTTGTATAGCTGTGTGATGGTTTCATTGGATTAGTTGTTGTATAGCTGTGTGATGGTTTTATTAGGTTAGTTGTTGTATAGTTGTGTGATGGTTTCATTGGCTTAGTTGTTGTATAGCTGTGTGATGGTTTCATTAGGTTAGTTGTTGTATAGCTGTGTGATGGTTTTATTAAGTTAGTTGTTGTATAGCGGTGTGATGGTTTTATTAAGTTAGTTGTTGTATAGCTGTGTGATGGTTTCATTAAGTTAGTTGTTGTATAGCTGTGTGATGGTTTCATTAGGTTAGTTGTATAGCTGTGTGATGGTTTCATTGGGTTAGTTGTTGTATAGCTGTGTGATGGTTTCATTGGGTTAGTTGTTGTATAGCTGTGTGATGGTTTCATTGGGTTAGTTGTTGTATAGCTGTGTGATGGTTTCATTGGGTTAGTTGTTGTATAGTTGTGTGATGGTTTCATTAGGTTAGTTGTTGTATAGTTGTGTGATGGTTTCATTGGGTTAGTTGTTGTATAGTTGTGTGATGGTTTCATTGGGTTAGTTGTTGTATAGCTGTGTGATGCTTTCATTGGGTTAGTTGTATAGCTGTGTGATGGTTTCATTAGGTTAGTTGTTGTATAGCTGTGTGATGAAGTAAATTAATATATAGGCTTATTCAGTTTACTATTATTAAATATCTCACACTCGAGGCAAAAAAACATATTTATTGAATATCGCAGTGATATTCCTGTTCTACACAATGCATATAAACCCTTGAACCATCGGTCTTTTGATTGCTCTTTTTGTATAGGGCCTACACAATGGCATTCATTTCAACACTATTTAACCACAACTATAATCTAAAGATCCTGAACATATTTTAGCTCTGTTGTTTATGTACAAGGCAGACTGTAATATACTATAATTAGAATACTTAAACGAGCTATGCAATTAAATGTTTTTAGACAAATATTTTATACTTTTTATTTTTAATATTATGTTTACTTATCATAGTACATGACAGCTTCTGTATTCTTGTACAGTAAATTAAGTTTTTACATTAGTTTAATTTAAACTGTACTTAAGTTCTGTTACATTATATGAAAATGGTTTGTATATTTGTTTTAATTTGTTTGTATAAAAGTCAAAATAAAAGTTACTACACTATTTACATATTCATTATCAATAAATACTTTATAGTATAGTTATAGTTTTCTTACATTTGAATGGATGGTATAATACAGATTTTAATAGATGATAATTTTAATAGATTTTGTGGATGTATTGGTGCTTTACTACATTTTGATTAAAGTTTCTCTCACATTTTGAAATTAACTTTGTAAATATTATGACTTATATGATTTGTATGTTGAAAATCATAATTTGAGCTAAGATATAGCCAGGATATAATACAGGATGAGCCAAGGTATAGCCAAAATATAGCCATTATTGGGCCAAGATGTAACTATGATATAGCCAACATTGAACCAAGATATTGCCAATTTTGGGCCAAGATGTAGCCAATATTGTGCCAACATTGCGCCAACATCATGCCGAGTTTCACTACCAATGTTTGGCCAAGGTTAAGCCAATGTTGCACCACGATGTAGCCAATATTGGTAACCAATGTTTGGCCAATATATGTGTGCTGACTGGGACCCGGTGCAGCACCTAATGGCGTGTGTGTCCCCCCCCCCCCCCCCATAAGAAAAAAAAAGATATATATATATATATTCCATATACACTTGTAAGTATGTGTATACTGATGTGTATATGTATTTAAATATTTTTTTGCTTCTGCTCGATGTATAGGTAACATATAGGTTATTACGATTCTCAATCAAACCGTTTTCCTCAGGAATATATATTGCAACGTTGAGTTGATGAAACCCCCCTTCCCCCCCCCCCCCCCCCCCCGGTGATTGCTTTAAACTGTGCTCAGATAATACAAATGATTTGTAACTATTTTCGGTTATAAATTCAGCTGGATGTTGTGTGTTTTATTTATCATTAGCAGGTTGACGTCATGTTGTCACCCCCCCCCCCCCCATGTCAGGATTAGTCCACTTTGCTTTTAAAAGACTATTTAATTCACTCTAATTAGGCCTAATCATTTAATTGAGTGGAATTATCATTTATCTGTATATATTTTGTTATTTTTTGCCTTGGTGTCACCCCCTGCCCTAAATGGTCGGTCCGCAACCCCCCCCCCCCCCCCTCAAGATAGTAGATTCTAGATATTACTAGACTAGATTCTAGTTGTACCAGAACTAGATCTAAGTAGTAGTAAAAGTAGTCTAGTAGTGCATGTGGAAAACTAGTAGACTAGGCCTCGTCTAGTACTGACATTCTAGATTAAATTCTCATCATTCATTCTTCTAATCTTAAGAACACAGATCTATACACTAAATAGTACAATAGTAAATAGGCCTACTAGATTTAGATCTAGATCTAAATCTAGTAGATCTAGAGAGTCTAGATCTAAATACTAAGAACTGTCGATTGTGTGTGTTCTAACAGACTGCAACATTAGATGTAGATTCTGGATCTAGACTCTAGATTGGTATAGACTTATAGACATTTGGAGAAAAATAATATACAGATCTAGATCTATGCCTAGTATTATTTATTATTTAGAGATCTAGTCTAAATTAGGGGAAACCACTCAAATATATTTGTTTGTTAAGGATTGACAGAATTATCTTTAAATTTGAGTGCAGCCTCTCCGCCATTGGACGATTTTTACCTACGCTGTTACTTAATTACTATTAATAATAGTATTATAGTTAATGTAATCTTTATATTTTTGTGACTCATTTTAAAATGATCTTCACAGAGAAGAATTTAGGTGGTTTAAGGCACAATGCAACCTAACGTAGTGCAACAGGAGGAGCAGGCCGATATCGAAGGTTTAGATTAGTTCATTTGATTGAGGTTGAAGGGATGTGCCACAATATCTAGATTTCTAGATCTAGAGCACGTAATTTTTATTGTACAGATTTCGAGTTTGCATGCAGCATTTCAGGAAAAGTTGTCTACATGATTAGTCAGTGCTTGTACGTAAGTGGATCATTGTCTTTCAGCGAGGGGGGAGTGGGTGTCTACAACGTTAGTTTGTAACGTAGGGAGTCAGATTATATTCTATATAGATCTAGTATATAGCAGAAGGGGGTGGGGCAGCCTAGAGAGGCATGGAAGGAGCAACTACAGTGCTGAGTGATAAATGCCTACATCATACAATCACACTTCATACAATCACACATCATACAATCACCGAGTCTAGCACTATCACAGTAGCAAATCTTTGATTCACACATACTCACACATCATACAATCACACATCATACAATCACTGAGTCTAGCACTATCACAGTAGCAAATCTTTGATTCACACATACTCACACATCATACAATCAAACATCATACAATCACACATCATACAATCACACATCATACAATCACTGAGTCTAGCACTATCACAGTAGCAAATCTTTGATTCACACATACTCACACATCATACAATCACACATCATACAATCACACATCATACAATCACTGAGTCTAGCACTATCACAGTAGCAAATCTTTGATTCACACATACTCTGACAAACTGGCTGTTAATAACTTGAAATGTACAAAATTTGAAGTATAAAAAGTGCTATACATTTAATAAAAAGCTGTTTGAATTTACAGAGATAGAACACAAAGTTTCTTCACAACCGAAATATTTTATTCTCCAATAGTTTTTAAATAGTGGAATTTAAGCATACTATAATACTTTTTTGTTTACTAATTTTTTGGTGCCTAATTTACAAGTTATAAACTGAAAAAAATAATAATTTATAAAAACTAATTGGATATAAGCTGAAATATTCACAGGATGAATGGAACATAATATAGAAGAATCAAATAGAGTTTACCACAAGTCATAAAGTTATTCACAAGTCAAGTCATAAAGTTATCCACAAGTCAAGTCATAAAGTTATCCACAAGTCAAGTCATTAAGTTATCCACAAATCAAGTCATAAAGTTATCCACAAGTCAAGTCATAAAGTTATCCACAAATCAAGTCATAAAGTTATCCACAAGTCAAGTCATAAAGTTATCCACAAGTCAAGTCATAAAGTTATCCACAAGTCAAGTCATAAAGTTATCCACAAATCAAGTCATAAAGTTATCCACAAGTCATAAAGTTATTCACAAGTCAAGTCATAAAGTTATCCACAAGTCAAGTCATAAAGTTATCCACAAATCAAGTCATAAAGTTATCCACAAGTCATAAAGTTATCCACAAGTCAAAAAGTTATCCACAAGTCATAAAGTTATCCACAAGTCATAAAGTTATCCACAAGTCATAAAGTTATCCACAAGTCAAGTCATAAAGTTATCCACAAATCAAGTCATAAAGTTATCCACAAGTCATAAAGTTATCCACAAGTCAAAAAGTTATCCACAAGTCAAGTCATAAAGTTATCCACAAATCAAGTCATAAAGTTATCCACAAGTCAAGTCATAAAGTTATCCACAAATCAAGTCATAAAGTTATCCACAAGTCATAAAGTTATCCACAAGTCAAGTCATAAAGTTATCCACAAGTCATAAAGTTATCCACAAGTCAAGTCATAAAGTTATCCACAAGTCAAGTCATAAAGTTATCCACAAGTCAAGTCATAAAGTTATCCACAAGTCAAGTCATAAAGTTATCCACAAGTCAAGTCATAAAGTTATCCACAAGTCAAAAAGTTATCCACAAGTCAAGTCATAAAGTTATCCACAAATCATAAAGTTATCCACAAGTCAAGTCATGGGTTCCAAGGTTTTAGCTAGCTAGTCAATGGGTTAATCAGGCAGAAAAAGGCAGTGTCACGTGACAGTTTCTTCACACACACACACACAACTGAGACAGACACACACACACACACACCATTGAGACAGACACACACACACGCAAACCATTGCTACACAAAGACAGGAATGTGCTGTAAAAAAGCTGAAATAAAAAAGACAGGCAATGAAACAGACAGGCAATGAAACAGACAGGCAATGAAACAGACAGACAATGAAACAGACAGACAATGAAACAGACAGGCAATGAAACAGACAGGCAATGAAACAGACAGACAATGAAACAGACAGGCAATGAAACAGACAGACAATGAAACAGACAGGCAATGAAACAGACAGACAATGAAACAGACAGACAATGAAACAGACAGACAATGAAACAGACAGGCAATGAAACAGACAGGCAATGAAACAGACAGACAATGAAACAGACAGGCAATGAAACAGACAGACAATGAAACAGACAGACAATGAAACAGACAGACAATGAAACAGACAGGCAATGAAACAGACAGACAATGAAACAGACAGACAATGAAACAGACAGGCAATGAAACAGACAGACAATGAAACAGACAGACAATGAAACAGACAGGCAATGAAACAGACAGACAATGAAACAGACAGACAATGAAACAGACAGGCAATGAAATAGACAGACAATGAAACAGACAGGCAATGAAACAGACAGACAATGAAACAGACAGGCAATGAAACAGACAGACAATGAAACAGACAGACAATGAAACAGACAGGCAATGAAACAGACAGACAATGAAACAGACAGGCGATGAAACAGACAGGCGATGAAACAGACAGACAATGAAACAGACAGGCAATGAAACAGACAGACAATGAAACAGACAGACAATGAAACAGACAGGCAATGAAACAGACAGACAATGAAACAGACAGGCGATGAAACAGACAGGCGATGAAACAGACAGGCAATGAAACAGACAGGCAATGAAACAGACAGGCAATGAAACAGACAGACAATGAAACAGACAGACAATGAAACAGACAGACAATGAAACAGACAGGCGATGAAACTGACATGTTAATGTCTAAAAATGTAAATCTTTGTTTAAGAATGGTTCTATTTAACATGTGCAGTTGGTTACATCATCTGATACAGGTGCAAGCAATGAAAAGTTGAAATATTGTTTATCATTCAAGTATTAAATTTTGTTTTTAGTTGGTCTAGATAAGGAGTGGGAGTAGAAAAATGTCAAATTAGAATGTGCATCACAGATCAAAGTGTGGGAGTGCGGCATGGTGTGTGTGGCATGGTGTGTGTGGCATGG